ATAACTGTTTCTTTTATTTTTTTATTTTCTCTATTGAGCTGTGTCGCGAAATCAATCAATGTAGAGCAGTGTCACAAACCACGGAGGCCCCAGAAAAGTGCAATCAAACGATGAGTTTATTAACACACAGGAGAAAACATCAACATATGTCTTCTGACCAAAATACATGTTGTGGATACTTATAAAGCAGTGGGGTACACGCCCCCTCATGGCGTCAATGATAGATTAAAATAGGTTCCAGACATTAGTCACAGTTAATCGTACATCTTTAATAGCTATAAGCAGACATAGAACTTCTCTTTTCTATAACACCTTCCATACAAGGTAATAAACTTCAAGCCCTCAGGGTCTCTGAGGCTAATTATTGACTCTGATCATCTGTTACCAAGTAGAATAAAATATAGTAAGACACCAAATGAGTTGAGGCCTCAGGCCAGACACATTCCTAGATTATATGTATTATATGTACTGTAAGCATGCATTGCAGTTATCCTTCTATGTTCTAGTTTCCCTCAGCATGTATCACCTGGACAGTCACGCCAGTGAAGCTTAAGACCCTTAATGAACTGAACATCAACTCAAAATAAGCACAGATATGCAATGTGTATAAAATACTTCTAATAATAAAAGTTAACATAATGGAAGGATCCTCAAATGGACATCTTCAATAAACAACTGTAATGCAGTATCAATACTGTGAGAAATATTATTAGATGAAATAATGCTGTAAAGAATGTTATTAATGCAATTATAATGATGCAGATTATATGGCAGCAATAAAAGAATTTCTGTATCTCCACAGCTGGGTAACATTTTCTGTGAGACATTTCACCGACTCCCTTAGCGTGGCATTTTCAGCAGCAAGTGTTTCCACCTGCTGCTGGCTGAACTCCAGGGATTCTCGCAAGCTTTTAAATTCTTGGTGAAGAATCTCCACCAAGGACAGCCTTGCGTCGAAACTGGACAAAAGCATTCAAATATAATAATAACCACAGCAGCCAAAAAGAGTGCCTGACAAGCCCAGTTGTATGTAAGTTAAACAAAACATACAGAGGGATGAATTAACCAAGAGGGAGGTGAAACACTGGTCTGCCCAATCAGAAGATCAGAAGCTACAGGACGCGCTCAACGATGTAGAGTGGGACATGTTCAGAGCATGCAGAGTCGACATCAACGAGTCTACGGATGTAGCAGTAAGTTTTGTTAGCATGCTGGTGGAGGAGATCATCCCAACAGTCCCAACAGTAATTTTTGCACAGTCGAGGAGCGTATCGGCACACATTTCACTGCATGTTGTACTTTTTCTTTCTTGGCTCTTGACGGAGGCAGTCGCACTTTCTCTTTCTCCCTCTCCCTTATCTTTCCTGCTTGGCTTCTCATGTCTTTTGTATAGTCTCGCTTATTCTCTAACCCTAAGAGAGTCTCCCAGACTTGTTCTCTAAAAACCTAAAGAATTATGGATTTGATCAACTGGTCCCTGAATGCAATTGACACCCTCCTCTCGACGAGAAGCCTTGGTTTGGGAGCACCTTTTCGGAACCATGATAACAGGGTTCTTGCTGATCGGCGCTGGCTTGGCCCTGGCTTGGCCCTGGCTTGGCCCTGGCTTGGCCCTGGCTTATGAAAGGATAAAGAAAGCGGAAATGGGTGTTCAAATCCTCACAAGGCTGCCCGCTATGTTGATTGGAAAGATGGAGCGAGCTGTGGGTTCTCAGAATGGGCTCATCGGGTGCAGTACAGATGACATCTTGGAGAAGCTTGCGGCTGCTGTGAGTACTGTGACCATCTGACAACATCTCGGAGAGGCTCACAGCTGTCGTGAACACTCATGCCCTATGAGCAAACTGGATAACATCTCGGCATGGATGGATAACATCATGGAGAGGCTCACAGCTCTCCAACGAGAGACTTGTGACCAGTGATGGACATTAGACAACTGTAAAATTGGAAGCAGTTTCTTCGCACTAACCAAAACAGCTACCATCTTCATTTCATGTGGCCCCCCTGGCACCAGCTGGATGCTCAAGGCAAAAGCTGACGGGAATAACAATTCTCCCTTAAGACTGTGACTGACTGTGTTGTGACTTTCTCCCTCCTCATTCAAGGCCACCCGCATCGACCAAAGACTGTTGGCTTTTGCCTAATCGGGTGAAGGGACACTTTCTCTCGGTGGAACACGGAACACACACACACTCACACACAGACCTACACTCACCCCCCATCCCATCCAAACGCCTTCTAAGCTTATATCTTCTATGTTGTGAGATGTGCTGATTCATGTTCTTTTTTTTTTCTGTTCTCAAACTGATCTCCCTGTTGGAGCTCAGTCTGGGGGGAGTTATTTTTTCTCCTTGTCTTTCCTCATGTTGTGCATTTTCCATTGTTATACACCTCTGACCTGTCTTCCCCATGTGATGTTTGTGTAATGTATGTATGGTCGGAAGGGTAAGATGAAGCTGGCAAAGGTCGGCAGCCTTAACAACAAATTTCCCACGCGTGGGACTAATAAAGGTTATCTTATCTTATCTTATCTTTGTATAACTATGCACGTGACATAGTTGCTTGGCTCCGCTCAATTCCTTTTTTAAACTTTACTTTCTTAACCTTTCTTAAACCACCAGTTAGGCACATACCTGTATCCCCCTATGGTGCATTCTTATGGCTTCAAAATCGACTTCAAAGAATAAGGCAGGTAAAACAGACGACTCATCTCCTGACCTAATGGTGGACGCCATTGCTGAGCTGTTATCCCAACAAAAAGAGGAGCTAGCAGCAGAACTCAAGGCTGAATTTAAGTCTTCCTTCACCTGGCTGGAGGCAAAGTTCGATCAAGTTTGCCTAGCTGTGGATGAACATGGCCAGCGTTTGTCTTCGCTCGAGCTGGCAGCGGAAGATGCAGGTCAGCGGATCAAAGAACTGGAAGAAGCACATGGTAACCTTTCAGGGTCTAACTCCAAACTGGCCACCAAAGTCATCGACCTAGAAGGCAGCAGCCGTTGGAAAAATCTACGAATACTTGGCTTAGCAGAATCCACAAAAAGCATCTGCCCAACTGACTTTTTTGGCGCTGCCCTATGTGAAATCTTTTGCAATGATATACTGTGAATACCATGCCATAGTTATATCAGACCATTTCCCCTTTAATGGTGACTTTGTCTATTCCCGACTTACCTAGAACAGACAGGAGTTGGTGTTTTAACCCCACACTACTATCTGATAATACCTTTCTGGAATTTATAAATAACCAAATTAAACTCTTTTTTTGACACCAACCTTTCCCTGAATATTTCTAGCCTTTTAGTTTGGGACTCAATGAAGGCCTATCTCCGAGGACAGATCATTTCATAGACAGCTAATATGGAGAGGGTAACCTTAAAAGAAAGGCAAGAATTAGCCAATAAAATAAAAGACTTGGACCATCACTATGCACACAATAAGGACTCTGAGGTTTACAAGAAACATTTTGAACTTCAAACCAAATTTGAACTTCCTTCAACTCATGCTATGGAGAGGCAACTCTTAAAGAGTAGGAGTACATTTTTTGTGCATGGGGGGAAATCGGCCAAACTCCTAGCTAACCAAATAAGGGGTCTAAATCCACGTCAGTGTATAACCGCCATTAACTCAGATGACGGGCTCGTTACTGATCGTGCCAAAATCAATGATGCGTTTAGGGAATATTATCTGAAGCTTTATTCCTCTGAATCTCACACCGACCACTCACTTATCACAAATTTTCTTAAAAGCTTGGATTTTCCTGGGCTGGCAGACACCCACAGATAGATGTTGGATGCACCATTTTCCAAAGAAGGGATTACCACTGCAATTTTCTCCTTACAGTCAGGGAAGTTCCCTGGCCCAGATGGCTTTTTGGTTTAATTTTTCAAACCATTTGCCCCAAAGCTCGTACCTCTACTCCACTTGGTTCTATCTGAATCATTCACACAGGGCAAACTGCCAACTTCCTGGTATGATGTTTCCATACCTTTAATTGTGAAAATGGGGAAAGATCCAACTGAATGTGCATCATACAGACTAATTTCGCTTTTGAATGTTAACTTTAAGATCCTAGCTAAAGCGCTGGCCCATAGGTTGGAAAGGCTCCTGCCAGCAGTCATATCTGAAGATCAGTCTGGCTTTGTTAATGGATGCTACCCTTTTTCAACATCAAACTTGTTCAGGGTATACAAAGAGGTCAAACTGAACACAAAGTCTCTCTCTATGCTGATGATTTATTGCTTTTTATTTCAAATCCACATACTTCCCTACCGTCTGTTTAGCCAAGTGAACTAATACTAACCCTGGAAAGGGTTTAAAAAGAGGGGATTGTGTTTTTGACTGGTTGCCTGTGTACCAGAGGTCTGTTGTAGGGTTGTCATGGTGATGATTAGACCTGGTGTTTTGGGGGTGTACTGTCCCTTTAAGAGCCCCCATAAGCCAGAGCACGCATGCACTCAAGTTTGTGTCACACACTGGCTGTGTCTTTGGACAGGTCTTCTGCAGCTGATGCAGATATGTCCAATGCAGACGGCTCGGGGACTGAGCAGTAGTCATGATCTCTTGTAAGACTTTGCTCTTCTTGATCGTCAGGAGGAACTAGTTCAGAGCGTCGCTCCGTTCTCTCCCAAACACTACGCCGCGGTGGTTCAACTTTATAGCCATTCCACTCAAAAAGTGTTGGTACAGCACCTTTAATAAGCCTCCTTCGACCATCGAGGGTTGTTGGCTCTATGAGTTGATCACTGGCAAAGTGTCTGCAGCAGACCCTGGTGTGAGAGGAGATCGTGAAATGATCCCGGCGTATGTTTACCAGCCATTATCTTCTCAAGTCGGAATGGGTCGGAAAGGCATGAAAACTTAGTATGCCGTTAAATTTGGCTGAAGCTGAACAAAGTGGGACACAGCAATGCTCGGAGTATTTCTTCTCCTGTTTTTGAAAATGTTCTGTTTTAAATACTTTCCTTTTTATACTCA